CAATTGAAATTAATAAAAGATTTAATTGGGATATGTTTAATAACAATTCTATCATGATAATTCTATCATTTAATTGAACAGAAGAATTTATCGTATGTTTTCCTTTTTAAAAACAAATTCTAAGTTATTTTACAGGTTTTATATATATATATATATATATATATATATATGTATATATAAAAAGAAAAAGAAAGATGGTTGTTACTATAAATTATTATTTATAATGACAATTATAAATAATAATTTATTTATAAGCACTTACTTTATTAATAGCACTTACATATCGCCAAAATAACAGTTTCGAAAGTAAAAAATCTTCATTTCTTGTAAGAAGCTCTACGATTAAATGCGAACAGCATGAGGATGTTTGATGTACTATTTTGTCTACCTTGTTGGACAACAATTATTTTTCTTTTCCTTGTTTTTCATTTTCTTTTGCCTTTTTTTCTCTTTCATATCTAACAATCATCGTGACATACGTTTACAGCACTTGCGATAATTGAATAGTAATTTCAAGTTTAAAGATAATTTTTATGATATTTTTATAATGGCGGAAGAAACTAAGGGACTTCCTCCATTATTTTGTATAACTTTTAACTTGTTAATAACGATTAAACAGTAGAATTCAGGCCGAAACAAATCAAAACGAAACAATATGTAAAAGTTACTGAAAAAATATAATTGTAAATAGCAAAAGAACCTTTAAAATATAATTGTTATTAAAAATTTTTTTCCACTTCGTGTTACTTTTATTCTCATTATATCTAAATTCATCAAACACATAGTATAAAAAATCCTTCAAGTTTTGTTCTTTACGCAGGACTCTAAGGAAAAAGAAAAAAAAAAAAAAAAAAAAAACAATATTCATTACAATAACTACCAAGCGAATAACTTTATTATCAAATTATTATTATTATTATTATTATTATTATTATTATTATTATTACAAAATTTATATTATAAAACGTTTGATTTATTAAAATAGCGATTATTGTGAAAAACTTTAAGAACAAAAAATAAAAAAAGAAAAAAACTGTTCGAACTATATCGAAAAATTCTCAAAATAGATAGCCTTCTCTCTATGTAAGAGTAAAACGATAAAATTATAAATAGGCAACTAAGCTAAAAGTTCGTTCTAACCTGGTCAAAAGAGGTCCGGACTCTCCTCTGAAGCTGATCCTGTTGAAGGCTCTTCTTTGAAAATTACCAAGAAGACTGCGTTTCTCTCTCGAAGAATCATTTCTTCCAGTCTCCTCGAGGCAGGATTCACCAATATTTTCATGACCATCTGCACAGGGTCTCAACAATTCGGATGCATTCAATTCGTTTGGTTGTCCCGTATTGGTATCAGTCGTCGAATGTTCCTCCGGTTCTTCATTGGCATTTCTTCTCGTTGCGAGCCTCTCGATCGTCGGCATTTCGTGATCCTCTCAATCCTCCATCCTTCTCTCTTTCTCTCTCTTTCTATCTCTCTCTCTATTTATCTATTTATCTCTCTTGATCGATGTTACTCAATTCACTTTTTTATACTATTATTTGAATATGTACATAAATATTCAGTCAGAATTAAATTAATTCTTTAAATCGATCCTTTATATAATTTTCTTTTTTTGCCATGTCCATCATCGTTAATCGAAATAAAATATCTTATTATTATAATCTATCTATTTAAAATCTATTCATCTTCTATGCTCCTCTTCGTCGGTTATCTTGAAAATCAACTAAACCAATTATGAAAAAACGTCCATCGTCCATCTCGTTCGACACTCTCCTCGTTCTTCATTTTTTTTCTCTTGTTTTTATTCTTTTGTCCCTTTTTTGTATTTTTTTCTTCTTCTTCTTCTTTTTTTTTTTTTTTTTATTCGATCACAAATTTAACCGAACACTCTTACAAGATTATTTTTAATAGAAACAATAATAGCATACGTCGTCGCGAACGATCGTTTGAAACTAATTCTATCGATTTTTCTATTCTCATTTAACATTATCCTATATAGCTATCTGATCGAGTCCAATTGAAATGACAGATCATTTTAAATTATAAATTTAAAATAAATAAATTTCATCGGAACGTTATGAATATAATATAAAATATTGTTCAATCGAATAAAATCATTTTTAATTTGTTAAATTGTTATTTTAATTTGTTAAATCGTTAATTAACTTACGATATTTAATCATTTGAATTTCGATTGTCACAATTATGGTTTGAGAAAAGTAAATGACGATTTGAAGAGTTTCCATTTAAATACGTTGATCAAAATAAAAAATAACATGGAAAGAAAAATCATCTTTGAAAATTTGTCATATGTTTTAAAATTATTAGACGTAGTTAAAAATGAAGTCAAAAAATATATATATATATGTGCGTAAAAAAAAAAGATTAAGAAAAAACGATAGGTACACTATAACGATGTAACCAGCAAACGAACTATAAGACCGGCCGGCATTCTACTCTTATGTAGGTATCTCTCACTCTCAGTCAGAACCGCGAAAGGAACCGCTACTTCCGTTCGTCTTTCTTTCCTCACTTTTCTCCTCTCTTCTTCACCGTTTCCACCTCTTTCAAATTCTCCACGCACTATTGACTTCGTTCCGTCGGTACGTACGTTAAGTAGAAAAGCTTTTCGCGAAAAAAAAATGGCGCCATTATCATATTCACGATTAACGTAGTAATTTCATTTAGCTTAGTAATATTTCGTAGATAAAATCGTCGCACTATTATAACGCCTTTCGTCATTGTTTTCCTTCGGTACGCTATTTTCATTTTATTTTTCCTTTTTTTTTATTAGTTTTCGTCCTTTTTTTTTCTTTTTTCTTTTGACTCGCTCTTTTCGAAAGTCACGTTACAACGATTTCGCGGTATCACGCGTCAAGATTCGTCGTCATCGGGCTGCATACACTCAACTAACATAGATCTATACAGTTACATATGTCGTTCAAGAAAAGCCAACGCAGCGACGAAGAAATGTTGTTCGCTTGTAACACACGCGAATACGTAAGTGCGTGACTCTTTAGATACGTGTGCCGGCAAAAGCGAAAATAATCCTCTCTCTCTCTTTCTCTCTCTCTCTCTCTCTCTCTCTCTCTCTCTCTCTCTCTCTCTCTCTCTCTCTTTCTCTATCTCGCTCTCTTTTCCTTTCTTTTTACGCGCGCGTGTCGCTATCGTACGCAGTCGTAAGCGATCGTGCGTGTTCGTATGCGTTCGGTCACGTTCGTACGCGTGCGTGCACCCACGCGTGAAAAAGTTAGTCGGTCGACAAACGAATACCACGTGTGTTCGAGTTTTTTCTTTTTCTTTTTCTTTTTCTTTTTTTTTTTTTTTTTTATATATCGAGTTATCCTACACTTTATCCTTTTACCCGATCATTTTACCTTACCAACCTATCCTGTTCCATCACCATAGATGTATTTTCATCCAACATCAATTTATTCGAATCTAATTAACTTTTACAATCCGGTTCTCTTTTCCGTCTTGATATTTACCCTTCACTGGATTCCTCTAACGGTATTCTCAACTGACTTTTCGTATGTTTAATCAATCAATCGAAGTACTCGCGCTATTACTAATTAACGATTTTAAAGATTATTATATAGGTTATTTTTATTATCCTATTTTTCTTTTTTTTTTTACGCACTAAAATAGAAAGCTTTTATAGATGATCGAATTTTGTTTGTGCTTGTTTTAAATTGAAATTATTAATTTTAACGTTCTCATCGTTTATTTAAATTAAAATAAAATGCACTCACTGATTTTTTACGACGTTGCCGTTCTTTTATCTCGCTCTATCTCTATCCATTTATCTGTCTATCTATTTACCTATCTATCTATTTATCTATCTATCTATCTATCTATCTATCTATCTATCTATCTATCTATCTATTTATCTGTCTTTAAAATTAACTCGCTGGATTGATAAGTATAAAAGCAAAAAGTGCAAACAAACTGAGTACGTTCTTTAAATTAACAGCGCATACGAAACAGAAGGTACGTTCTCGTTACTGACGCAACGACACAAGTGGCTTCATATACATGCATAGAAATATGAATAAAAGCATAAACTAGTTTAACGTTCACACGACTTTTGGATACGTTACCGATAAAAAAAAAAAACGAAAGTTGAAGGTGAGTGAATATTTGATTTCGAAGTTCATTGATTTTTTTTTTTAATCGAACCATTCGAAAATAATAGTATTTTAATGAGATAATTTAATTCGATATTTTTCTTCAAAGATACATAAGTAAAATTTTGTCTTCACATGAACAATATATATTTCTCTATCGTTAATTTATTTATAAATATCGTTTCGTTTCGAATTTGTTAAATTTTTCGATATCGATCAATCTTTCTTATCGACGTTCATTATACAGGTTTTGTAATTTTAACGCTAGATGGTACGTTATGAACTTCTCAATGCAAGTAAAAAAATAATACGTTCTTACACGCTTATGTATCTTCATACTTTCCATGTTTTGTATTTTTACTATTTTTTTTTTCTGTTCTTTTTTTTCTCAATAATACTTTATATACTTGCTTACAAACTTGAGTTTCGATGAGATTCGAATAATTGGTATTTTTTACGATATCTTATCTTTCTTTGCAACGTAGTACAAATGTATATCGTAGTATACATACACGCTACATTAAACTAATTTGCCGCGTTTTTACATTTATTCTTCAATTTTTTTTGAATTTAACGTTCGACCAAAATTTTCATAAAGTATTTATTTATAAACTTTTATCTTATTGTCAATCATTTAATAATTTTATTTCATGAACGAACAATTTTCATAGGTTAATTGACATAGATGTAGTTAATTTTATTATTAGGGAAAAAAGAAAATAGAGATAGAATAGAATTTTGTTAATAAGGAAAAAAAAAGAAAAAAAAAAAGAAAGAAAAAAAGAAAAAGTAAGAATGGTATTAATTCGAAATATAAAAAAGCACATATTTTTTTCTATTTAATTTGATATCTAAAAAAAGCAATGTATGTACAGATTTTTAAAATAATAATTATTATTATTATTTACTACTATTTTTTTATCAAATTTCGACATCTTAATTCCATCGAAAGATATGCTTTCATGTTTGGATCTTGAATTTTCTCTATAATTTGTTTTTGTACATCCAGATTATTAACTTCAATAGAGTTACTCAGTTTCTCTGCGTATTGAATCCAAACGCAATTATTACAACCAGACATGCAGCAGTTGGTAGGCTCTGTAATATCTTCTATAGAGAGAGAATCATCAGCTTTTTGTTGATCTTCGATTTGTTCATTAGACATTCCTGTATTTTGGTTATCGCTAGAACATAATCTCAAGGTCATGAATATGCCCTTCCAATTATCGTAGATTTGTCTTTTGACGTTATTTACTTTTGAACGAACCAGATTCATTGTTATTTAGGTTAGATAGATGGTCATTTGAATGTATATTTAGAACGACATTGATGTTATTTTATTTATCTGATTGTTAAACGTACATTTAACAATCAAATACTAGATATTTAGGGTATACTTAGAAAAGTGGCTGAAGCGAATGTTTTTAGGAAGAAAAGTTCTTTCGTAAGATCACAAACTCGTCTTTTTTTGTTTTCTTGCCTTTTTTTTTTATTTGTTTTTTTAACGTCATAAACGATAAATAGACAAATAGATATCTATTACGTGAGATAAATAAGTAATCTTGAAGAGACATCTGGCGAGTTATATACTGAAATACGTTTTCAAAACTAGTATTTTACGATATAAATTTGTAATAATATTATCTCGATGTTATTGATAACATTTTATAAATTTGTATTTATATTCTATTGAAAAATTCTAATGGATAATGAATAATTTCTTAAGCTTTCATTTTAGTTTGTATGTAGTAGCGTGTAAATAAATTGTAATATCTTCCACGTGGGTTTACGTCGGTTCAATGTCATTTTGAAAATAATAAATATTGTTTGTGACAATGGGTCGCAAAATTCCGGGGAAGAAACATCGTGGCGTCAAGGATCCTGAAAAACAGCGTGCTAAACGATTAGCTGAGTGAGTTTTCTTTCGAGTAATCACCATTGTAAGTTAGTGTTTTTGAAGGTTAGCAACGTTGTTATGAATTTGTAGGTTAGAAACAAAAATAAACGCTCCGCCGAAAGATGTCAAAGAGCAAGCAGTATCAAAAAGTTTGGAAAATTTTATTAGACTTAAGGAAGCAGTTAAGTCTGGTAAAATAAGTAATGTGAAGAAAGTAAGGAAAAGGAAGAAAAATGGATTAATATGCGTTGGCGGTGAAAAACCAAAGTCGTTACATCCTAAATCAAAACCAGAAAAGGCAGTTCCAATATTTCAACAAAAACCCGACGAAAGTAACAATCGATTTTTTTATCGTGTCAGTCAGGAGACTCATGCTTTTCTTAATGAAACTGCCTTTGAAAAGAAATACGATGTCGTTGTAAATAGAAATTCTAATACCGGAGAGGTCGAAGGTATATCTAAACGTCCTAAAGATGAGTTGGATGAATTAGAGAGATTGAGGGCAAAACATAAAAATATTAGAAAAAAGAAAAAGAATAAAGAAGGCGAAGGTGATATGAACCTTAGTAAATCTCAAAAAAGAAGGCAGAAGTTGTTAATCAAGAAGAAAAAAAAGGAGGAGGATTTAATTGATAATTTTCAAATATTTCAAGATGATGTGAAATTTGGAGAAACAGTGCATGCACCGCCTAGATTAGTTACCAGACCTAAAAAAGCTAATCTCACGGATACTATCAAGGTAAACTTTAATAACAATTTAACTTTAAATATATACTGTAGATATATAATATATTTACATTCTACTTTTCATATTAAAATTCTTTTCCAATAGCCAGGAAAGAAAAATTTGCTTCTACATTCGTTATTCGCAAAGAATGGTTCATCCAATAGCAATACTACAAAATCGGTTGTCATTGATAGATCTGGTAAACGTAAAAATCTACCAGCTAGTGAAAGAAGACAACTGGAAAAAGAACAGAGCAGTGTTATTGCAGCATACAGACAGTTGAAAGCTAGGCAATCTGCTGATGTTGATATTTAGGGTATGTATTTATAAAAAAAATATATATAAATGATTCAAAATTTATTTATTCTTCGTTTTATTTTTAACACTTATATATATGTATCTATGTGTCTATATATATATATATATAGACACATTTTTATAATATCTCTAACATTTCTTAAGAAGTCATAAAAAGAGTGATTTACTTCTTTCTTTTAAATAAAGTAGATCCCCTTGTATTCTATTGCTTTTAATATATGTATATGTTCATATTATTAGAAGAAAAAAAGTTCTAGCATAATTCTCTTAAATCTCTCTATTCCTTTTTTTTTTTTTATTATTATTATTATACAATCGTTGAATTCACATGAAAATAGATGTATCATACAAATCCCTGTTTTTCAAGATTAAGCGCATTGTATTTAATATACAATATTGGTGTAAATATTAGAAATCTATATGACTAAATATAGTGTGCAGGTAGACCTTGTAATCCAAAGTGGTAACTATTCAAATCACTTATAAGTATAGTTATAGTTCCATATATATAGTTCCATATATATAGTTCCATATTCATTCTACTCACATCTAGTTTTATAATGGGGTGTTGATTTGTAGACAGAGAATAGAACTTATGTAGGCATTTCTAGAGTTTAAATCTTTGTACGTCATGCATCAAGCTGAAAGAATATTTTTTCGAGCTATTAGATTCGTAATTGTCATATTAGTATCTATCCTGTCGTCCATACAAATGGTTCTAATCTGTCTTCGATCGGTAAGAAATTATTAAGTGTCTCAAGACTCTCTAATGTCTGATTAAGAAGCGAATGACATTTGGTCAGTTGTCTGCTAAGTTCATGTACTTTGTTTAGTTGTTCCGTAAATTTTGCAAATTTCTTTTGTCTTTCTACAGCCAGACTCAAAATTCTATTAACTTCAGCTTCAAGATTAATGCATAGAGCTGCTTGTTCTCCAGCTATCATTTGTGCATTAGTATTAAGATGATGTTGATATCGGGCGCATACATTAAATAATCCAATGGGATCCAATCTTTCAAGAACTTCTGGATCTCTTACTCCTGGTGGTAGATTCAAAGTTCCACGCATAATTGGTAGAAACATGGGAATACTTTGTAATTTGACTAGATCTGGATCTTTTTCCGTGCTAGGATCCGATGCAGCTGGTTTTACCACCACAATATTATGAAGTTTGTCAGATAATGGTTTTCTATGACTGATAATGAAACAAAGATTTCATAAATGAAAAGATAATTATTAATAAGCTTCGAATGATTTTACATACCTATGAGTGAAGCTATTTCTCCTCCTTGATATATCCTGTGCTCCTAAACTTTTTCCCCTATACAATTGTAATTGTTTGTTGCTCATCTTCGGAGAGTCTCCGATAGGTCTATTTACAGTATAAGATATATATGGTAGATCAGAATCTGAACATATGCTAGCACCAGGACTTGTACATCTAGGTGGAGTATCTTCTGGCACTTTTTCGCTGTTTGGAACGCTTTTACCACGACGAAGTTGTCCAGTCCTTGCTCTGCCATTACTTGTGCTCTGAGTACCACTTTGTGAGCTTTGTTCAGAACCCATTTTGCAAGTACGTAGTTTACCTTTTATATCGTTACAAAAATCACAATTTTTCTTGTCAATATTTCTAATAATAATTTAAAAACTTGCATTTTCATTCAATTAATAAATATATTTACGTTGACACAAAGAGAACCGTAATTAAAAGCATTTTACGAATCGTACGATTAGAGAATATAAAAAAAAAATGTTTGTCACGTCCAGTAAGACGTCATATCATAGATTTTCTTTACGTGCAATGGTTTAACATAAATACTTTTTAAATAATGCATTATGATCCAGGATCATAGTATTACCAGGTGTACCGGTACAAAACAAATTGTTTATAAAATTAAATTTAATCAATAATAAGAAAGTACGTAAGTGTTTTGATACATATTCAAATGCAATTAATGTTATTAATATAACAAGTTATTAAATTATCGTATTCTATTTGTAAATATCCTTATCTTCACGACATTATATATATATTAATTAATTGATAATTGCAAATAATTACTATTATCTTTGTATCCCTGTTGTCAAAAGTTTCTCTCTTTTTTCACCATCGACTGTCGTCTTTAAGATGTACAACCAGCAGTTGCAATATTCTTTAGAATTGTAGCGACATCTGTCGTAAAAACGCATAATCTTTTGAACAATCTAGTATCTTCGTTATCTTTGATCGATAGTTACGAAGTGACCTTTTTTTTTTTTTTTAATTAGGTATGATCATTATCGAATAAAATATAATATAATTGATTTTTAAAATAATTTTTCCATCATTGTACTTCGGATAAACATATTAATTTTTTTTTTGTTAAATCAATAATTGTACACTTTTTTTCATTTGCTAGTATTATTTTCTTTATGCAGTAATTCAAGTCAAAATTAAAAGGAGTATGAAATTTTTAATAAAGACATTTCAAAAGTTTTGTTAATCTTAAATGTAATAGTCAACGAGTTATATTGTTTGATCTCTTGAAAATTTATTTCGCTTGGCTCGATCAAATATCGAAAATTAAAAGTCGTCACCAATGATGATTTCAATATAAGAAATTTTAGCATATGAAATTTTATCGGGAAGCATGTCACTTACAAAACAGTTTTTTTCAACGATAAATAATTTTGAAAAGAGTTAGGAATTAAAGAGATGCCTTACCTTAAAATAGATTTCAAAAATAGATATCGCGAAAATGAGTTGCATAAGTTGAAACGTTTGAAGATGAAAGTTCAATCTGGTGCGAACGACGTCATAATGTAAATTACACGATTGGAATATTTTTTTTACAAAGGAATGCGTTTGATCGTATTGACTTCGAATTTGCATAAATATAGAATAGGCGTCACTTAACTTGAAGCGTTTCTTTCTCATTCTCAGAAATCATA